ATTTCGGAATGAGGCATGTATTGTCTGTGAGAAGGCATGTAAAGGTCAGAAGGTCGAGATCTTGTGGACAGGGAATGGACTGAGGATTTGAACTGGAGAAGGTTGTAGGCGTAAGAAGGACGATGGTTGTTGATGATTTGGTAGAGGAACGTACCTAGAAAATATTGTCTTCGGAAGGAGGGGAAGAGCCACCTTAACTCAGTGTAGTGGTGAGAGACATGGGAGTACCTCGGGGCACCAATAACAAATCTTACGCAGCTATTCATTAATCTTTTCAGTCTATCACGGAGCTCCACCGAGAGGCCATCATACACCACACAGCTGTAGTCAAAGTGGGGGAAGATGAGAGAGGAAATTAGGAGTCTACGGATATGTTGAGGTAGGAGATGGCGGAAGCGATGAAATAGTTTAAGGGTAGAAATTGTCCGACGGGAAATGTGAGAAATATGGTAGGTCCAGGAGAGGGTTTGATCTATGAAAAATCCTAAATTTTTAATAGAGGAAAAACTTTAAGGAAAAACTTTTTATTTTTCCGAACAAGCTTTAAAATGGAGTTCCTAAATTCCACCATTGAAAACACAAAGAACACTATTGTGTATTATGTATTTAATATTATGTATAAATAAAACAACTAGCTTTGAAATGTTAACAATCCATAAGACATACCCCTCACAGATGTACAGCAAAAAAGACTCACAAATACTATTTTCATATAGTATTTTCAGTCCAAAATTTTACGACTAATAACAGAAGCTCCAAGGTACGTAAACAATAAAACTTTAAATAACAACTTACGACAACCAACTATCGACCGACACATACGAACTCTACTAACAATTTCATGTTAAGCTACAAGAATACAACAAGAGATTCATAGCTTAGATGAACCAAAAATTGTGTTCTTTTTATGAATGAAATTTAGAATCCATCGCTTTTTCTTAAGGATTGAAAAGATTGGGTTGTCAAATGAGTCTTTTCGGTATTTCAATTTATTTTTATGTCACTATGATATAATTTTTATCTGATTGATTAATCCCTAAGATGGATTGTTTATTCTGTTTGTAATATGTCAACAAGTATATCTGTTAACTCATGTTGAAACTGGCTTAGTATTTTGTTTGCTATTGCACTGTGAATATGGAAGAAAATGTCTTTATAAGAATATATCATTATCGGCATATTTTGTTGTATTATTTTGAAAAAGGTAAGCGTGCTGCAGAAGCTCATAGAAAAAATTGCAGTGTTTATGTGGATGATGCCTTAACTGAACCCACCTGTTAAAATTGAGTTGCCAAATTTCATTCAGGAAATTTTGTCATCAATGATGCTCAACGGTCTGATCGCCCACATGAAATTGAAACGAGCAATGTTAAGGCCGTTGTTGATCAAAATCCCATCCAATCAGTGCGAGAGATTGCTATGCCCATAAATGTATCGCACAAAAGCGTAGAAAACCATTTCCACAAGCTGGGCTATGTTTCCAGGCTTAATGTTTGGATGATTTTTTTTCGAAAACCACAAAAAATTTTATAACTTCAATACCTTAGCTACATGAAATTTAGCGCCACATAAACTACATAATATGACATCAACAGGACTTTTGTAAACAAACTACAAATGGAGATAAGAAATAAAAACTAATAAGTTGTTTTTGTTTATTTATTCCTTATGTAGGTATTAAATAAAAATAACATTCATACGGTTTTGAAGAGCAATAATTCAACTTTCCAACGGAAATAGCAACATCGAATTTTGAGAACATCCAGGAGTTATGATCGGTGGGTGTTATGTTCCACCAAGACAACGTTTGGGCCCCAAACCTCATTGGTCACTCACAATAAATTATTGAGCCTTGGATGGTTCCTTTTGCCCCACCGTTCCTATTCACCAGAGCTAGCTCCATGTGACTAATACTTATTCCGGTCTTTGCAGAACTACATGAATGGAAAGAAATTCCAAAAGGAAGAGGACATCAAAAACCAATTGGATCAGTTATTTAACACTAAACTCCAGACATTCTAAAAACATAGCAATATGCAGTTAGTGGAAAGGGGGGGAGAGTCATATTTAATAATGGTCAATATATTTTACATTTTTTTAAATCTTATTTATTGAAAAATATTACAATCTGTCTCTAGGACATTTATAATGGAGTTCACAGATCACATTCACACTCTATGTACAATAAATAAAATAAAATATTTTATATTAAAATAAATTTTATGTCTATAATACGTTGCATTTTATTTCACCCTGAAAAACCGGAAGGACTTATTTGCCAACCTCAATATTATGTAACTTTTTTAAAAAGTTACACTTTAACAGTTTCTGTGAAACGTTTTAAGAAAAAAATTTTAAATAAAAGTTGTAAAGGACTTTTGTGTAATAAAGTTCCAGTTTTATTAGTGTTGCCCAAAATCGGTCTTGGTCTTGCATTTTGCAAGACCAAGACCAAGGCCGCATAACTGTTGCAAGACCAAGACCAGGACTGGTAAAAAAAAATAGATTTTTTAAATAAAAATTAAGGCAAAATAGTTATTAATACTCGACAATTTTAGTTACTATATGTTAATAATTGGTATAACCAATATACTTTTGTATTTAACTCCTCTAATTTTTCATTCGGGCTTAGTTAATTTTCTCCTATCTAAAAAATTACAGTAATATCTCTATAGTAATAAGCCAGTAAGTAACTGCAAGATTGTTGCGAGACTCTTGCGCAAGACCAAGACCATGGCCAATACTTGTCTCGGTCACGCATTTGGGCAACACTAAGTTTTATAATAAGAATTTAACTTGTCAATTTATTCATGTTCTTAAAAAAGATTCCCTTAAATTAAAAAATAAACAGTAAACGGGCTTAGATTATAATTAGAATTTGTCTTAAATAAATTAGACATGATTGAGAAGCCATGAATACCGAAATTTTTAAAAAATAAAAGTTTTTTATCCGTTTTAAGCCCTGCTTTTTTCGAGGAAGTATGGTGTATACAATTTTTTTTTTTATTTATTCATAATTTTTAGAACTATTTGAATAAGATACATCTAGTAAATTTGTTATGATAAATACTTGTTGTGAAACCACCCACTGGTAGCAATCTAATAACATGTCTACATTAGGAGATCACGGAGTAATCTTCTATATACATAAATTAAAAGGCTTCAAGGAGAAAACTGTAGCCAAGTCTCATTAAAATCGTTATAGTCATTTTGGCGCTACACTCTATAGCGACTCACGGCCGCCATTTCGGGAAAAAAGGTCGGATAGTAATGAAATGTATATAAAAACACTCCTGTATTGGATTGCAACGTTTTATCGAAATTTCAAAGTAATCGGTGAAAAACTTTCGGAGATTAGCGATTTTGAACAAACTAACATTTAAATTTTTAAATATATACATAGTTTCCAATTTTTACTTTCACTTGCGTATATATGTAATATATAGTAAGGGTAAGTATTGCGATCGGGAAAATTTTCGAATATCAGTTTTCAACGGAAATACATATTTTGAGGTCCCCTGAGTTCAAATAACCAAGTGTTGCAAAATGGTCTCTGTGTGTGTGTGTTAACAGTCTAGCTCATAAACGAAAAGTAGTACGAAACTGATAATAAGTATTTAAGGTTTGTATATGGGCCGGATGTGACAGCAACTTTTTCGTTAAAATCGGCAAACCGGAAGTGCCACTTTATATGAACGCTGAAACACATTCTTACAATTTTCTCAAAAACGGCTCTAACGATTTTGATCAAACTCGGTGTATCATTGTATAATTAAGTGGTCTTTAATATCAATTAGGTCTTATCCTCGTTGATGTCACTTTACAGGGCTTAAATGCCCAATGTTCATAATGTCTTCCTCTAAAGTACCTTTAATATGGTTTATTTTATAATGTTAATCATTTCAAATTATTCAGAGTTACGAAAAAATGCTACGTATAACTTTTGAAAGAATTTGACAAATTAATAAAGGAGGAAAAAAAATGCAGAAAAACCTGCGTTCCTACAGACTGTAGCGCCTAAACGAATGTACCGATTTCATTTTTTCGATACCCTTTAAATTTATCTATATAACATACTTCAACGAAAAGAAGCTGGAAAAAAAGTTACGAGGGATGTTAAAATTAAATTCCGAATAACTCAAAGAGTATACGCTTTTTTGGGGATATTGTATATGGTTTTTTAAAGTTTATGGAATTTCCTAAAACAGAAAAAAAAAAATAGTTAAAATCGGACAATTAGGAGGAAAATATATTTTCCTTTTTTTCCTGAAGAGACGAAAATTTGAAATATACTTTTTTAATTGTTGAGACTAAAAAACCTTTTTCCTACAGATATTTAATAAAGTATCTTTCCTAAGAACATTTTTCATAAGAAATAAGTACCTAAATTTATACCTTTATTCTCAGTTCTATATTTCAACAATGCAATCACCACCTCCGCAATCAACTTACTCATGTTCTGCATAGATAACTTTTTCAACTAAAAATATCACTAAAATGACCACTCAAAAATGTTGAAATTGGAGTTAGTCATTCTGTGGTTTATAAAAGCAAAGAAAGTTCTGTGGTTTATAAAAGCAGATAGAGTGAATAGATTTTTATTGCCTGTCGTCGATATATTAAATAGACATTTTGTAATAATAATGGTCTTAATGACTTGTTATCTATAAGTTTTAAGCTTTAGCTCCGTTTAAAATGCACTTCAAAAAATGTTATAATAGCCCAGCATTGCCAGAAAATAATTTCTATTCAAAGTAGATCGGTAAGTGAAAGTTGTTTGTTGCGCGCACCAGATTTTTTTTTTATTGGTAAGCTCGTCAAAAGCTACTAAACAAAAAAATAATATAGGATTAGAAAAAAATAACTATTTTGCCTTTGCATATAATTAATGATTACCATAAATTATGAAAAAAGTATCTTCGGAAATATTTATAACAAAAAATATATGTTATTGGGATAACATGTTTAAAAATGGTGTTTCGTCTCTCGGAAATGAATCATTACACGAATTTCCATCTTTCTGACTCCTGAAAGGTTTTGTTAAAGTCGTTGGATGTAGTACTGCCCAGAAGCCTTTTAACTTCCATCATGTACGGATCGAAAGAGGAATTAGTACTATCAATGCTTCCAGTCTTTTTCCTTTCAGGATTACCAATCCCCCAAACTTCAATCCGGCTGAAATAGAAATTCTTTTCTTCACTTAGAGGTTCGTAATCCGAAAAGGTATCACAAGTCTCTGAAACTTGCCCGGGTCCGAAATCAGGATTCAAGAAAAGTCCAAAGTAGTTAGGAAAACCTCCAAATGCCAAACCTTTGGGGAACATGCCCTGGCCGTCAAAGAGGTATTGGTAATGATTGTTGGTTGTAGAGGCTGAACATATGATTATATCCGGCCTTAGGCGGAAAAGGAAACACCCGCAATCCCCAAAGAAACCGGTGTTAATCTTCCAAGACTGCGAGGCGAAACCACCGAAGACAAAACCGCCTGTCTCTTCGATGACGACCAAGTTCGGGCCCTGGTTTGAGATGGCCGACTGCAGAATGGTCCAGGAATGCGGATCACTCCAAGAGTCGTAGAGTAACCTCCACATCTTCTTTGTGTGGATCCGAGTCAGGTGGGACAGCAGCAGAACCAATGGCAACCTCAGAGTGCTACTCTGACTATCAGCCACCGGAAGCATAGGTTTCAACTCCCCGACGTCCATATTGCAAATAAAGTGTAAAATGGATTCGAAGACTTCTCGCAGGAAGCTGCACACGATGAGCCATCTTTCCAGTTCTTTTATTTCCATCTTACCATTCTCTGAATAGACGATCTCCTTCATGCAATAGTCTGCCAAGGTGTTAAGATCCTTTTCGAAAACGCAGTCTCCATGTTCCCAGGATTTGAAAGCCGCGTTTTTGTGCTTATTGAGAACGTTCATATAAGACAGCAATAAATTTACTATGTACTTGCGCAAGGTTTGAGGATGAATACTTTCATCGGTACCGAGCATAGACATTATTACAATAGCGCGGTTCTCTGTTGGGCCCGCCACCATGTTATAATAAAAGGTCTCCAAATCGTCTATTTGTATGATATCATCAGTTTTGAAAAGGTATTCTAGAAACAAATCGAGCAAGTAATCGGTGAGGAGTTCTCGCCAAATTGTTAGAATGGCAAGTTTAGATACTGGACGTGGCTCCACAATAGTAGATCCCAACATGGTCGCTATACTCTCTCGTTGGGTTACAGACAACAGGCTTACCCTCGGCTTGGGCTTACTCCTGCAGACGCCCATTCTGTCATCAATGAACGCTACATAGAACCTGAAACACTAGTAAATAATTTTTATTTCATCTGTAAGAAGTTTAATCTATGTTTACTAATAAGAAGTTTAATAATTAAAAATAATTGCCATATTTTTTTATTCCTTTCGCCTGTCCTGTTCAATTTGGCATTAGAACATGCCATTAGGGAGGTAATGCGTACCGAGAAAGGGTTGGATCTGGGTGGGACAACATCCGTGCTGGGCTATGCTGATGATCTGGTACTGTTAAGCGAAGACGTTGAAACTATAAAACTAAATACGACAACGTTAATGAAAGCCGGTAAAGAACTAGAACTCGAAATAAACGTGGATAAAACAAAATATATGGTTAGCTGCAAAAATGGCGATACTACTGGTGACATCGATATAGATCGTAATATGTTTGAACAGATAGATAAATTTAGGTATCTAGGTTCTACGATAACTAGAAAAAACGAAATTGAAGAAGAGATTAAGGTTAGACTGAAGGCGGGAAATATAATTGAGGTAATTTCATCGCGGCGAATCAAATGGGCTTGTAAAGGTGTTGGGCTTAGTAGCGAGAGAATTCTTAAAAGGTTAATATTTTCTGTGCCAAATGGTAAGCGTCCGAGGGGTAGACCAAAGCGAAGGTGGGAAGATTGCATTAAAGCCGATCTGAAGAGACTGGGTTTGGACGGCGAACGGTGGAGGGAGGTGTGTAATAAGCGATTGGTGGTGTCGGCATCGAACCTTCGGGTTCGCTAAGCCTTTTATTATTATTATTTTACTCATGATATTTACAACTTTATTAGAATATAAATACGTCTAGTAAATGTGTACACAGGAATATAATGACATGAAAACGCATTTTCAGAAAATACCCATTGGTATAAGTCTACGTAAGGAAATCACGAATCCGTAAGTCCAAATAAGCCTTATTATAGTCATATATTTGAGTATTGTAATTAAGTGAAAGTTTAGAGCGTTTGTCTATAAGTGCACCTTTCCACCATCCCTCCAAGTTTGAGCCAAATGGAACATGCAGTTTTAGAGATACAGATCTATCAAGGAAAACACGTTTGCTCATATAGAAGAGAAAATAATGTAACATAATTCAATAAAATTGACACAACATTATTTTTTCACCAATACCTACCTTCTATCCAACTTTGAACCTGATCGAACTGGCCGTTTCTGAAATATTGTCATATCTAAAAAAATTCGTTTGCGTGTGTGTAAGCGCTGGATGATATTTGATAAAATTGATATGGGCCCATCTAGGCACCATCGGATAGACGGTAATAGGTGATCACATCGATTTGACTACAGACAGACAGAAACCGAACCAAATTTGATCATTGATGTCTGAAACGTATTAGTCCGTGATACAGACATTATCTCATACATCTATATTTATGGAAAAAAACTACAGCGTGTGCTTAAAACCATACGATATTGATAATAACTAAACGGCAGACATCGCTTTAAGAGACCTTAGGAGTGGGAGACAACTTTTTATTTTATTAGTCACGTTTATTCTGATTTTTTTTTTTAATTTATTACATGCCGCTTCTGGTAAATACTTACTGTGTTATCATGTTTGCAGATAGCAAAAGGTTTAAGTGGATGATAAATGATGCTTGTGTGCTAACCTGCTAAACTGTTATAGTCCATGGTACAGACCCCTTTTTATTGAATTATTAAAATCCACCTGAAACTTCGTAAATAGTTTCATCTCATCGGAACCTACAACTATTTTATTTACTAAAACTCTTGGAATTAGGGCGTTTTCAATCTGGAGGGAAACAAATTTTGTCCATTTAATTAGGTAGTAAAAACTCGTAAATACCCACTTACTTTCTATTTTGATCTTAAGATAATTTGATCGCTAAATCGATAAAAAATGTTGCATACAAAATTATTGGGCCGTTTGTCATATATAACCTCGTTATATTGAAAATTTGAGGGGTGTATGTCACACATATTGAGCCGTTTAAATATTTTTTAAGGAAACCTTTTCTCTCGATTTTGTGATAAAATTATCTTACGATCCAAATAGAAAGCAAATGAGTATTTACGAGTTTTTAGTACCTAATTAAATAGACAAAATTTGTTCCCCTCCAGATTGAAAACGCCCTAATGCCAAGAGTTTTCATAAATAAAATATTTGCAGGTTACGGTGAGATGAAACTATTTACGAAGTTTCAGTGGGATGTTAATAATTCAATAAAATGAGGTCTGTACCACGGACTATAACACTTTATCAGGTTAGCACACAAAGGTCATTTATCATCCATTTAAAATTTTTGTTAACATGATAACACAGTAAGCATTTACTAGAAGCGGCATGAATACTGTAATTGTAATTAATTTAAAAAAAAAATCAGAATAAACGTGACTAATAAAATAAAAAGTTGTATCCCACCCCCTAGGTCTCTTAAAGCAATGTCTGCCGTTTAGTTATTATCGATATCGTATGGTTTTAAGCACATACCGAAGTTGTTTTTTTCCATAAATATAGATCTATGAGATAACGATGAAATATTAACATAACCTTAACAACTCGTGTCTCGTTATCAGTACTTTTAAGCGTATATTTACATCGTAGCTTTTGAAAATAGCAAAAACACGTGAATTGTTGTAATCGACGTTTAGAATGGTGCCAGAAGACATTGCAGTAGTTAGAAATTTGATTTTTCTCATTAAATTACAACAAACTATTATTAAATAAATGGTTAGTACATTAGTATTGGAAATGATCCTCCTATCGGTTTAGTACTAAAATATTACATTTTTAAAGGGGACCCTACACGGTCAATCGGAATTGCACTAATGACGTTCCGAATTGCCGTGTAAGGTAGTGAATGAAGTACTGATGGTGGTGCGCTGCGGATTTCCGAACATCCAGAAATCAAAGGTTCATTCACGAGAAGTGGAGGGGGGACTGAGGTAAAAGTAGTGGGGGGACTAACCATACTGCTGGATAGGTTAGTTTACCTAGGCCTCACAACCATTATACATTTCTGATTTTCATTATATGTAAATAGTTAAATAAGTTTTCATATCCCTTGTCTATAATTTAAAACCATCTTCAACTATTTCTTTTAAATAGTCAAGTGGGCAACAAATTAAAAAAAAGATGAGGAAACTTCACAATTTACTTTAGAAAAAAAAAAAACTTTAACGTTGTGTATATTTATCAGTTCTTTTCCCATTTTCCTCAACAAATTTATTATTTTCGCAATGCCTTTCCTTAATTTTTGTAAGTAGTAGACTTATATTTTACTAACTTTTGTCAAAACGATATGAGACTAACCTTACTACTAGATAGGTTAGTTTACCTAGGTCTCGTTATTAAGTAAATAATTTCATAAAAGTAAATAGTTGTTTATATCCCTAGTCTATATTATTATTAATCATTTTCAACTATTTTTTCTTTAAATAGTCAAGTAGGCAATAAATTGGAGAGAAAAAAAAGTGGAAACTTCACATAAGTAATGATCAGTAATGATTGAACGTGTAAGGGTCTTCATGATCAAAGCGATAGCGGGCAATCTTGGAACTTCTTGTGACGTTCATTCATGAATTACCGTGTAGGGTCTGCTTTATGAAACTGAACTTATAGCCACGTTTTTTTTAAATATCGATTTTATTTATCGATTAAAAAAATCACAATAAGCGCACTAAAATAACATTAAACCCTTTAACTATATAACAAATATAGTTAGAAGGGCACAATTTTCTAATTTCAGAAAGCGAAAATTAATCAAAGTTCTTGATGATATAAATGTCACTTAATGAAGTTTTGGAATAAAGCGACGATATATTGTGTTTAATTAGTGCATTTCTATCACTGAGCTCATCACTCACTAAAAATAAATAAATCGATCTCTACTTCTTTTTTAATCTGAGCAGTGAACTTAATAAATGATTAAAATTGTTAGTCCGTGGTACAGACATCTTTTAATCTTATTATTAACATCCGTCTGAAGCTTCGTAAATAGTTTCATCTCATCGTAACCTACAAATATTTTATTTATGAAAACTCTTGGAATTGGGATGTTTTTAATCTGGAGGGGTACAAACTTTATCTATTTAATTAGATAGTAAAAACTCGTAAATTCCCATTTACTTTCTACTCGGATCGTAAGATAATTTGATCACAAAATCGAGAAAAAAGGTGGCCTTCAAAAATATTGAGCCATTTGGCGTGACCTACACCCCCAAATTTTCAAAATAATTATCTAGAACAAACGGCCCAATATTTTTGTATGCGACCTTTTTTCTCGATTTTGTCATCAAATTATCTTACAATCCAAGTAGAAAGCAAATGGGTATTTACGAGTTTTTAGTACCTAATTAAATAGAGAAAGTTTGCCACCCTCCAGATTGAAAACGGCTCAATTCCAAGAGTTTTTGTAAATTACATAGTTGTAGGTTACGATGACATGAAACTATTTACGAAGTTTCAGAAGGATGTTAATAATTCGATAAAAAGGTGTCTGTACCATGGACTGAATGTTTTTTTTATCGTTGCTCTATTCATAACCTTGAACTTTCCATCTTTTAAACTTTTTGCTAATAATTTTATAAATGGATAAAGAAATGTGATTCATATTGAAAGAATCTATTACTGGAAATTTCACCGTTAAACAATCGAATCAGACAAAAAAAATATATCAACTTCAACAACTTTATGGTTACTTACATTTTGATTAAAAAACTTCGATGGGTGACTAAGCAATTTCACTAAAAATTCAAATCCATATTTATAAAGAAACACTATGACTGACACTACCGACCATTTTTAAAATTTATAATTTGTTTTATTTTTACACTAATATTGGGTGGAATTTCATCCTATTCTTACTTCCTACAATAGCTCAAAATGTGATATTGATTAGAAATTCTTTTTTTTATAAATTAACAAGTTATAATTGTTATTAAATTGTTATTACTAGATAACAAATACTTTTTTTTGCAGGAAATAAATAAATCATAATTTAAAT